AGGTCGTCGGTTTCAAGTGCCCTGCCTACTCCGAACCTGGAAGCCTCGCCGCCCGCTTCGAGCCCTTCCCCAGGTACTCGGCTCGTGACTGCGGCCGCTACATCATCTGCGTGGACGGAAACCCGAGACTCATCGGCTGCGGCGACTACACGGTCTTCAACGAGGCTACTCTCACCTGCGAAGACCCCGAATACGTGCCCGAGTGGTGAGTCGGCTGGGGGGGGGAGGTGTGTGTGTGTGTGTGTGTGTGTGTGTGTGTGTGTGTGTGTGTGTGTGTGTGTGTGTGTGTGTGTGTGTGTGTGTGTGTGTGTGATTGTTTATATGAGTGTGTAAGTGGTAATTTCGTCTATGCATTTGTCTCATTTTGTTGAGCTAAGAAGAGTAAAGTAGAAAGACAAATATAAGGCAGATGCAAAAGAAAGGGGTATGAAGCAAGAGAAAAACAATTGGAAAGTTATTTTGAGAACTCATTAGCATAATTAGAGTAATTCGAGGAGTTCAACAGAAGATGATGGAACTTCTGCAACTGAAGATATCAAGAAATTTAAAAGTGAGGAGCATTCGGGATGAATTTAAAAAAAGATTGATAGATAGTAAAGCATAACGATAGCTATCCAAAACATTACGATAGATTATAAAACAGAAGATTGAGCTTTTTATTAATTAACACGCCAAGGAAGAATGTCGAATCAGGGACCACTAATAAACAATAGATACTGCAGGTCTTTCGAATTAAAACATTACGGTAGATTATAAAAAAAAAAAAAAAAACAGAAGTAAGACGCCAAAGAGCGGCAGAGTAAGGAGGTAATATAAACACTTGGATGCAGACTCTCTCTCTCTTTCATTGTACGTGTATGTATTCACGTAAGAGACACAAAAAACAAACAGAGAGTTTCTGCATGAAGTTGTGTTTTTCGGTGCAAATCCAAGAATCTTGAAAATAACATTTCTCTTTTCTATTTTCAGCGCCAACTACTTCAAGTAAACAGCAGAAAAGATGTTGCCAGAAAAAAAAAATATAGAAAAAAAGATCTCCGGCACTCTTTAACATCCCAAGAGAAGAGAGAACATCTTCCAACAGTCTTCAAGTCCTTTTTGAAAATAAATTAATAAACTTATATTTGTGTATGTATACAAGTATGTATGTATGTATATACAAATATACATAGAGTATATCAAATTGCATAAGATAATATATATTTTTAATTCTGTATGTTTCCAACTTGTGCCATCAACTCTATTTAGGTTTTATATTTCTTATTCCAATTCCTTCTTTAAGCATCTCGCAATTTCTGTAATCTTCAAAAGGCTGTAATGAAACCTGACGTATATAAGAATTGTCTCCATTTTTTCTGTATTTTGGAAATAAAAGGATTATCAGATCGAGACTCACGATTTTGTGTGTGTCATCCCCATCCTTTTTATCTTAATATTTATTTTATTACTATTTTTATTCTTAGGACTGTTGCATTATATAGTGTTGCATTCATATAGTGTTTTGTTGTAATCATAAATCCATTAGTATTGGTTTCAGTTGTAGTAGTAATAGAGGTTGTAGGTGCAAAGGTGATGATAGAGTTGATAAAGGTAATAATGATAATGATAATAATATTGATAATGATTATAAGGATGATGGTAATAATAATAATAATGGTGATTGGTAATAATAATAATGATAGCAATGATAGCAATATCAACAACAACAGCAGCAATAATGATAATAATAATGATATAACTAGAAGCAAACAAAGACCCCATAAAAATCTGTTTATAACCTTTTGAGTTATCCTGCTAACCAATCAACCAACGAACAAACAAGCTAACTAACCAACTCTACCAAAAACACAACCTCCTTGGCGGATGTAATGATATCGATAGCAACAACAAGAATGATAGTAATAACAATAATGGAAATGAAAAGAACGAGTTAAGTGGGTTCCACTTATTTCACACTAAGACTGGTGGTAGATAATAGCAATAGCAATAACAACAATGATAGTATTAACAATAATAATAATGAAAAACGAGTGAAGTGATTTTAGACAAAAGTCATCAGAAGGCTTCCACTCATGTCACACTAACCCTGTTCAGACGAGCGACTGCTGGAAGTGCGATTGCCAGGTCAATGGAAGTGAATAGCCACTAGTGTGTGCGCTCCTATCCACTTCCATTGACCAGGCAGTCGCGCCACTAAAGTCGCTCGCCTGAACAGGGTCAGATTGGTGGTAGATAATAATAGCAATAGCAATAACAAGATGATAATAATAATAATAATGAAAAAACGAGTGAAGTGAGTCTAGACAAAAACCATCAGAAGGGTTCCACTCATTTCACACTAAGACTGGGAAGAGAAATCCATAGTTATGAGTGGAATTGTCTGCAGTCCTTCAGAGAAAACTGGCAGAGGCTTCGAATTCTAATGGCATGCCACGGGGTGAGTTCAGGGGGCATGAACTATGTCATTCCCAATGCAAAGACGATTTCAGATTAGGATCAGTTTTGTAAAGCATGGAAAATCGGTGCCATAGATTTGCCATGAGGTGATATATGATACTTGGTCATTATTCATCTTTATGACAGTATGTCACAGCAAAGAATATCCATTGTTACAAATGGAATTAAAACTAAATCTTATGAGAGAGAGAGAGGGGGGGAGGGAGAGGGAGAGAGAGAGAGAATATACTTATATAGATAGATAGATATTTCTGTGTGTGTGTGTGTACACATACATATGTACTCTGTGGAAAACCAAATTCCAAATATGGTGGGATGAAAGGATTACTGAAACAGACAAGTCCTCGAGAACCCTTAAAAGGAAACCAATGACAAGTCAGTCTTCACGACCAAACCCACACGCTGGGAAATAAAGAAAATAGACAAGGACAGGAGTGTACATTAAATTTACGAAAATATGAAAGTACAGGCCAGCCCCATTGCGCGTCTACACAAGCAAACATTCGATGAACGAGCGTACTGGTGGTTTCAATCAGCTCACCAGTGATTCTGTCGGCCAGTTGTTTGATGTGGATAAGCGTGTATCCTCATAGTGTAAGGTACTGTATGCGTTGGGCTTACAAAACAGTTTACCAACTCTTACTCTTACTCTTACTCTTACTTTTGTTATGAGTATTGTAACAGAAATATTCTACTCGCTCCTGCACTTGTTAATGACATTGTAAAAACCATTATTGATATAAAATGTGATCTTATACCAATATTTTGATGTCTAATAATAAGAACATTATTGCTACGATCAAAAACCGCGCTGAAAGGAAATATTACATAGGAATTTTGAATCCGAATCGGATCCACCAAAGTTAATACGATGGTAAAAAAACACACAATGCACAAACTAAATCTAATTAGTGCATTGTGTTCTTTTTCTACCATAGTATCAACACGGTAGAGTATTTTTTTCCATTCATATAATACGATATACTATGCAAACACTCGATAACCTGAACATATAGATATACAGTAAGTAATGGATATATCAGAAGAGCATTATGGAAGTCTATTTGTAAAACGAGTAAGGGAGTAACCTCAAGATATTGGCCAAACCCTCGAAGAGTCAGTGAAGGAAATATACAGTGGTTTATTATATAAGGAAAGATATTGGCATTCTCCAGACTCGTGTGATTTGTCGCCCGTCAGTTTTGTTTTTCATTTATTTATTTATTTATTTTCATCTTGATTATTATTGTGTTTTCGTATGACACGTATCAGAATGTTTGCCGCAGGATACCTTATCAGGGGGAAGCAGTTTGGGCAGTGGGGGGTGGGGGGGGGGGGGGGAGGAAGTCAGCGGACGAACGGCGGGCTAGGTGCGTGGCTACGAAAGACATCAATAAAATACAACAAGAAAACAATCGCACATCGGGTGAACATCTTTGACTCATCACCATAACATCAAGTCTAATCATAATGACAATTCATTTTATTCAGGGAGATAACGTCTCTAAAAATACACGATACACCGAGAAAGTTTATTTTTCGTCGATTTCATGTATATATTAAAAACTGCATATCAGGGTTTGTAAGGTCCTGGAGAATCGTGGAAAATCATATATAATAAAGTTGAAATTTTCGGAACTGGATTATCATGGATTTTTTTTTCGTCTGGAAAATTATAGATGTTTAGAATCTGTGTCTTTAAAGAAATTAAAATCTGACTGATGTTTTTCACTTTATATTCCGAGAAAATCTGCAGAAAGTCCGAAGATTGAGGTAACTAAAAAGTTGAAATATTACATTGATACAAGCTAGTCCCTTATAAGGTGTCAATAAAGCACACACACATTACTTAAATCTTATATATTTGACATCATTTTGGAATTATGATCATTGTAAATGTAATGTATCGTGAATATGCATCCAATGTTCAAGGAAAACTGTGGAAAAAAAAGTCATGAAAAAATACCAAAAACCTCTGAAAAGTCATGGAAAAGTCATGGAATTTTGATGCCCAAAAAGTGTACAAACCTTGGTATATTCATAACGTCATTCAAATCACGTATAACAGATCCTTAAGAAACGTGACTAAGCCTAATTCTGCCACATTGCCAACGCTCTATTAAAGCTGACTGTGAACTGTAAACATAACTAAATAAGTGCAGCAAATGTCCATTGCGGGTATAATGCATTCTATAGCCATTTATTTATTTTCTCTTGAATGAGGACAAGTCTCTCTCTCTATCTATCTATCTATCTATCTATCTATCTCTATCTCTATCTCTCTTCCTTTCTGTCTTTCTTCAGCTCCTCCCCCCCCCCCTCTCCTCTCTCTCTCTCTCTCTCTCTCTCTCTCTCTCTCTCTCTCTCTCTCTCTCTCTCTCTCTCCTCTCTCCCTCCCTCCCTCCCTCCCTCCTCCCTCCCTCTCTCTCCCTCTCTTCTCTCTCTCTCTCCTCTCTCTCTCTCTCTCCTCTCTCTCCCTCTCTGTCTCTTTCTCTCTTTCTCTCCCCCTTTCTCTCCTTCTCTCTCCCTCTCTCTCTCTCTCTTTCTTTCTCTCTCTCCCTCTTCTCTCTCTCTTTCTCTCTTTCTTCTCTCTCTTTCTCTCTCTCTCAGTTTCTCTCTCTCTTGTGTTTTGATTGCATTAGGTTTTATCGCGATTTTGACAATGTCGATGTTCTTGTCTTGGTTTTATGTATGATTTGTATTACATTTTTTGTTTATCCTAATTGTACTTATCACTTATATTTATTTCCATCATTTCTTTTTTCTGCTTAACGATCTGTTAATTTATGGCCTATTGTTTCGTTATTTCATACACTTTGTCCTTTCCTTTCTATTCTATACTCTTCCTTAATTTCATGTAAGGCTCAACTTGACCTATCTGTAATATTCAAAATATTTTTTCTTGTTAATTAGCTTATACATATTCATTTCTAATTTGGTATCCTTTCATATTCACCCTTCTATTTCTTAGTGCTTTCTTGCTTTTGGTACTCTTTCTGATTTTTTCCTATATTTCACTATTTTTATATTTTTCTCTTACCTCTCCAGCCACGACGAAAAATATCATAAAGTATAATATATATAAGTATCTCTTCAATATTGAAAATTGGTCATTTTCTCTATCATTAAAGAAAATGTATTTGATGGCTAACTCAACCAAATAACTTCCTTTCCTTTTTAGAGATAACGTAAAGGGAAGGTGATCACAAAAAATACAATCGGTTGGTTGAAAAAAGAAAACAAAACACCATCAACAAGTTGCTGTTTATGATATCAAAATTCTTCTCTTTTATTTTGCTCTATTCCAGTGTTATCAGCAACGGTGTTATTGCATACATTGGTGCCGATATATCATAAGCATACTTTTTACGATTGCTGTTATCATCACCAACGCCATCGTCATCATTATCACTATTACCATTTTCATTAGTAACTGTGTTGTTCTCATTGCTCTTATCATTATCGTTGTTGATACCTGTTAATGTTATTGTTTTTGTCATTATCATTATCATCGTTATTACTCGTTGGTTTTGGTATTCCTTTCTGGTTGATATTATTGTTAGCAAAATTACTTTTACTGTCGTTGGTACTACAGTACTGACTTTGCTAATAGTATTATTATGCACCATTATCATAATTACCATATTCATCGTTACCATATTAGCATCAGACTGTTTTATTATTATTATTACCATTATTATTGCTATTACTGTTTTTTCCATCGCCTTCATCTTTATTGCTATCGTACCCGTTTTTGACTCATATTTGCTAATTGTAATTTCTATGTATTTCACTTTATTAACCTGGCCGGAAACATGACCTTAACCATCATTATCATATTAATTACGCCATGATCGTAAAATATCCTAATCACCTCTTTACCTTTCTCACCATTAGGATCACTATCTATTTCATCTCTATTGTTCTGATTAATATTTTTGTTCATTTCAATTTCAAAAAAATCATCAATCGATTTTCCGTTATCAGTCATTCTCACTTCAAACACCAAAGTCAACATCACCTTCATCCACTCACTTCTATTTTCATTTCCCTCTCTTATCGAAGCTTAGTTGGAACCGGTAAGGATGCGATAAAAGACAAGGACACCGACGATAAAGCGTGATAAGAAGAGGCAAACAGGAAGGCAGGGTTTGGCCAGGAATGCGGGACTATAAAGAAAACTGTGCGCTTACCTTGGAGGCAGGACTCTGTTAATTTTTCTGTTAATTTTTCTGTTATCCATTTCGGATATTTTTTTATCTGTCTTTGTGTATTTTCTTACTTTCTTTTTCTTTCTTTCTTTCTTTCTTTCTTTCTCTCTCTCTCTCTCTCTCTCTCTCTCTCTCTCTCTCTCTCTCTCTCTCTCTCTCTCTCTCTCTCTCTCTCTCTCTCTCTCTCTCTCTCTCTCTCTCTCTCTCTCTTTCACGCATTCACTCTCACTCTCTCTTTCACTCTCACACAAACACACACACACAACTACTCATTCTCTCTCTCTCACTCTCTATCTATCTATCTATCTATCTCTCACTCTCGCTCTCTCTCTGCGTGTGCTTGTGTGTGTGTGTCTGCATATATACATACATGTATGTGTGTGTGTCTATATGTATACACAAATATGTATGTGTGTGTCTATATATACACATAAAAATGCTTGTGTGTATATGTGTGTGTCTATATGTATACATAAATATGTATGTATGTGTGTGTGTGTGTGTGTGTGTGTGTGTGTGTGTGGTGTTATATATATGTTCACACACACACATCATGAGTGTATATATATATATATATATATATATATATATATATATATATATATATATATATATATATATATATATATGTATATATATATATGTATATATATATATATATATATATATATATATATATATTATATATATATATATATATATGTATATATATATGTATATATATATATATATATATATATATATATATATATATATATATATATATTATATATATATATATATATATATATATATATATATATATATATATGTGTGTGTGTGTGTGTGTGTGTGTGTGTGTGTGTGTGTGTATGTATGATGTGTATATATATATATATATATATATATATATATATATATATATATATTATATATATATATATATATATATATATATATATATATATATATATATATCAAATATATATACATATATAGGTATGCCACTTTATGTTTGTAGATATGAATGGATGTATATGTATATACATTTATATTTATACAAATATATATATACACACATATGTGTATATTATACGCACAGACACACACACATATATATCACTCTATGTTTTAGATATGAATGGATGTATATGTAAATATAGATGCACACACTTACACCGACAAAGGTAAACAGGCAGAGAGAATTATAAAAATCGCGCTTTTGTCCTTTTCATTCATCCTTATCATCCTTTGAGTATGTGCATTTGGGTCTCAGATTTCTCTGTCTGACTTCATTCCTTTTTTTCATTCTCCACGAGCATTTGCTTATTCCTTTTATTTATCTTATAATGTGTGTTTATATAGCGCCATGGCAGTCAGCGCGGAAAACGACCTTTTTCGCAGTGGCAAAATAACAGGCAAAACCAGAGGATACAAATACATTTTGTTTTTATTTTGTTTGTTTTTATAACAGAAAAGTATATCTTTATCTTCGACGGATCAGAAGAAACAAAGAAAATGAAGATCTTAAATTTAACATAATTTATTTACAAACAGAAATAACAACTAAGCCTAGGGGGTCGCGGAATGCACTATCATAATACTTTGTGTGAAAAAATATTTACAGTGAGCCAGGGAAAGGGGGAGGGGGGGACGGGGACGTGGATGGGTATGGGAGGGCGAGGGGCAGGGAAGGGGGGAAGAGGGGCGGGGGGAGGAAGAAGGGGGCGGGGAACGGGAGGAATTGGGCGGGGAAGGGGGAAAGAGGGGACAGGGAAGGGGAAGGGGAGGGGTGCGAGCCATCACAATGTTGCCAACTCGGGGGCCATTCGTCACTGCTAGACGTCGCAAAAATCTTTGGGTGTTGGGGGTTTGTACCCGGGCTGTGAGGAGTAAAAGGGTGCTCAGGTCATGGGTTGCGTGGAGTGGGGCTCTCGGCCTCCTGTCCTCTCGAAGGAGCGCATATCCTAGTGTCCCTAATGATTCCATCTACACAGAGAAGAGGAACTGAAGTGGGTGGCACGCGGCTCCCCGTCGGGTGCGAGGAAAGTCACGAGCCCCACCCAGCTGCTGCCTTGCGAAAGAGGGAAACGGAGAGAGCGGTTTCTCAGGCGCTTAGAGCGGGATGGCGCCGGGGATGGGTGCCGCCCTGAAGTTGTTCCCCGAGGGCAGAGGGGGCCTGTTGGGGAGGGCGGACGGCAGGGGGGCGTCGATGAACTGGCCTCCCTGCTGGATGGGCTCGGCCTCCACGCTGGGGCGGCGGCGCTGAGGGCGGGCGATGTTGGCGCGGATTGGCCCTGCTTCTTCCGTCTCGGGCTGGGGCGTGGTGGAGGGAACGTCGCAGTCGGTGGTGGGGGGGTTCACGCAGCGGCGGGACTGCTTGTCGAACACGAGGGTGGCGGGGCAGCGCTGCAGGCGGGGGTAGCCTCCCTGGCACGACCAGTACCTCTCGCAGGACTTGCCGAGGGCAACGTTGGCATTGGCATCGTTCTTGCAGAGAGCTGAGGAAATAAATTACAAGGTGAGACGCCGCTCTCTCGCGGGGGAATAGTGTTATGAAACACCGCCTTGGAAATGGTCGTCTATTCAATATTTATCAGATCTACGGTGCTTTCCCTCTAAAAACTTCAATATCTACAAACGAGTAAAAAAGGAAGAGGAGATGACACTCACGATGCTTCTGGCATCCGGCGACGTTCTGGGGCCAGTCGCAGGCGTGAGTCTCCTCGTTGTAGAGGAGGCCGCCGATGCAGAACTGCTCAGTGGCGGTGCCGTTCCAGCAGGTCCAGTAGCGGGTGCAGGAGGTCTCGTGCCCGAAGATGCCGTAGAGCCAGTCGCAGTGCTCGGTGGAGATGGGGGGGTTAGGTGGGGGGGGGGTCGAGTTAGTTACTTCTCTTGGAAGGTCAAGGATAAGCAGGAGCAGAAAAATAGAGCAGGTCTCATTTATATTTGGACTATAATTGGGTTGTGGGGTCAAGGAGAGTGATATATGGCGATGCAGTAGTTCTGCTGAATCATCTACACACTATGGTTCAACAAGGCCGAAGAACGGCAACTATCAATGCGTATCATGCAAAACTGTGCCTTATGAATCAGTGGAAGAAAGGAATATCAAGAAAAATATCTTTTAAACGCTGTCTCTCTCTGCTGCGATGAAGGGTCGTCTCAGCAACGGGGCTCCCGAGTGCAAAACTTACTAGCAAGCTGCTTGTTGTCGCAGTAGGCCCCGCGCCAGGGGTAATCGCAGCCCTCGGCGATGCCACGGTTCCTGCCCACGAACACAAGGCCGTTGGGGCAGTCGTAGAGCTGCGGGGTGCCGGCGACGCACTGCCAGTACCTGTCGCAGTATGTGA